TCTCCATACATCCCAGGTGCTTAGGGTGGGACAATGGGCTTGTTATTTGTATGATCCCAGAATAAGAGGCTTTGTCCCAGCCCTATTATTAGCCTTAGATAGGTGCAGACCTAATAAAAAGTATAAATCAAGAAGCTTTCCTTAAAAGGAATTAATTGAGATTGATAGATTTATACCAGAATTGTTCTCCACAATGGGGCACCTTCACTCCAGCATGAGGGAAGTCTTTATCAGTTTAAACCTGTTTTGCTTGGGAAGGGATTTCAAATTCACCAGAGCTCTCTCCCCAAATGACATTGTGATCAAAGTGCCCACACAAGCTATTACTATATAGGTACAACTATATCCATTTAAAATTTACATCTGAGGTTATACTGAGGGGAAAAAAATATCTTTGAGTAGATAATGACTAAGAAAGTTTTAGTCCTCTGTACTGAGAGCTGATTTCTTCACTGAAAAAGGAAGAAATTGCTGCCTTCTTTTATGAGTTCTGTAGAAACCTATCTCCAGAAAACAATAGTAGAGATACAATGGTCTATTCAGGTCAATGAGCTATTAATTTCAGTTCTTGGATGCAAACATTTAAATGCTAAAATTTCCACAAAGTACATAATTCAAGCAAATGTTTCCACTTTTCATGTGCACTGTGGCAGCAGTTTAATAAGGTACTTTTAATTTAGAAGATGAATATAAATGTGCTCCATTAATATAAAGATGAACTGAGGCAAGCACACATGCTTCCAGGTCAAGCAGCGATTGTTATCAAACTACCCGTGGACAAATTTACAGGACATGGAGGGTGTGTAACTTTCACCTGTTTGTACATCATCGAATCTAAGGACCCTCAGCTTAACTAGACTTTTGTAGGCCAAGGAGTGAATGTGGGGAAGACAGGACAAGCAAGGCAAAGTATCAATGTGAGTAAATTTGATAGTGTATTTGGTGCCCGAGCAAAAAAATATGGTTCTTGTCCAGAACAGTTTAAAACCTAAGCCTAATACCATTCAAATAAAGGACTGGTCAAAGGAGACAGCTTCAGACAGATAGTGGCACAAATTTTAATATATATTGTTGTCTTTGCAGATTAAGTCAGACAAACAAGTGATTAATCCTGCTTCAAGCTATGGAATATTGGAAGCAAATCTATGCAGAAAAAATGACCAATAAAGAGACTGGCAGCTCAAGAGTTCTCCATTTTCAGGTTTCCATTGCTTTTGATACAAATTTAAAGTGATGTATGCAATTTTGGTAAAGTAGATGGAACAATGTAATTTAACGGTTCCCAAACTCTGACAGATTGCTGGTGCACAATTTAAAATGCTACAACCTTAAGAACACCAGCAAATTTTTGTCATATAAAGTAATTATAATAAATCTGTTAATGCATACCACTGACAGGTTGCCTGTATACCACTGGTGCTACCCATACCGCAGATTGGGAATGGCTGTGACTAATTTATAAGCCCTTGGAAGAATAAAAATTGGTAAAAGTGACCAATTATATAGGGCACAAATGAGATCAAGTCTCCCAGAGGAGCACAGGATATCTAAGACCTATGAGCATGTGCCCACTTTCCCTCTCCTGCCCATATAAATTATAAACAAACATTTTGAAATTGTTTTCCTACATATTATACATAAAATCTGGCTAGGTGGCATGGGACTGAGACACTGAACACAGTTTAATATAAGTTTACATACAAAAAAAAATTTATAATACCACTTTAAAATTTTCTGCACCACATTCATTATTTTTCCAGCTAAACGTGGAAAAAGCACACTGGACTAGGTTAAAAGTAGCAGTAAGACCCATGGGTTAAAATGTTTTTATTAGATATTTTGAATGCCCAACTTGAAAAGCCCTAGTTTTTCCAGAATGTTCAGAACACTTCCTACCATCAGAAAATAGAAAATTGTTTCTATTAAATCTTTTTAGGTTCAGAATATACATTTTTCCATTCTGTTTTTGAAACTCATTGTGCAACTGAATTATTCAGTCCTTCAGGGACATACAGAAAAGAAAGTCAGTTAATACCTAGCTTTTGTCTGATTATGTTAGTTTGTGCACTATACTGGATCCACTATTAAAACAGGCAAGCCTTTAACTATCTGGCTTCTTCAAAAAAAGTTCTTAATTACTACTACCTATGCTTTTAGAGGACAGAAACAGTGACTGACCCTAGCACATTTAGGGGGAATACCAAAGCTTCTTCCTTGGTTTCCTACTGGTGATCAAGTTTTTGGGATCATAGATTAATACTGGCACAATGACAAGCAAGGCCTGAATTTTTTTTTAAGTCACACTACCTGGTGATTTAAGACCATGTGAACTCCATGAGTTCGGATATCCGTAGAGAATTCTCCCAGGAATTCCAAGATGTCCTCTATAGTGGCAGCATAGGGTAGACCACGCAAACGTATGCAGTCTCTGACATTGGTAGGAGGCACAAATTGCTGAGGTAATACAGGAAGGATTGATGGTGAAGGGAGGGGGACAAGAGGCGTAGAAGAGTACCTGTTCAGCACCTGCACAAAAATAGAAACAAGAGAAGGTGTGAAAGAAGCCCCCTATCCCTCTAAACAGAATACAGCTTACAAAAACATTCTATGTTTTTGTACCAAACCCCCCCCCCCCCCCCCCCAAAAAAAAAAAAAACCCCAAAAAAACAAACTAGCCAATTATGGAGGATCTAGTCACTTAAAAAAAAATATATATATAATAATCACCCAACGAGTTTAGGCTTGCTTTATTTGAAAGCATCATCTTGGCTTGGTTTAGCATATAAACCGCAAATCAACATTCCATAACATGGAAAGTAGTAGAGCAGCAACTCACTGAATATGCATCTTATATTTATTTATACAGTGCTTTTCATCCAGAAATCTTGTAGAGCACTTGGGAATTATGTAGTCATGGAAGAATTGCTTCTATCCAGTAAAATATTGCCTGTTTGGTAGATAAAAACTGCAGCTCTTAACCAGCATGCAGCACAACTACACTGTAGATTAGGAGAAAGAAAAGTAATCTGGACATTGGTTTTATTTTATAGTACAATATATGCTACTTTTTAATAAGCGACTGTTCAGAAGCACAGTTCATCAGGTCACGCTTAGATTGGTCCAAAGATCATGTCACATTTTGGTATTTACTATCATAAGCTTAAGTGGGAAGAACCCAGCACAGAATTACTTAAATATTCAATCCTCTCAGTATAGTGCACATTTCCTCTGTTCAAGACTTGAAATTTCTTTATATCCACACAGACAGAAGTATTAAATTGGGTTTTCACCAGTAAACAGATACAGGAACTGTCCAAAATGCAAAGTCTTAGAAAAGTCTAGGTTTGCTCATAGCTGGCCTAGATAACAAGATGGTGTACGTGACAACAGCCAAGATATATATCCATCCATCCCCACAGTTAATACCACCAGTTATGCTGAATGGCTGCTATACTGTACAGTGGTCAGACATTTCTACAAATCTCTAGGGTGGACAAGACTCCAGAAACCTACTCTAGCATGCAGTTGGTTGCTAACAGTCAGTTCAGCACGACTTGCTGAGTGGACAGGACTCCTTAAAAATATTTCTGTGATGGGCTCAGCTGATCTAATTTTCCTCAGGCTATTTATGTGATAAGAAGTTCTAATATGCATTACCCTTTCCACTCTAGTGACTACAGAAAACTGAAACAGGATGGGGAGCTCACACAGTATAAGATAAAGAGGAGGATAACTGAGGGGAAGGGGAAGAGCTGCCCTTGCCTAACTAGGGAGGAGACAGGAAAAGCTGTGTGCTCTAGTTTGTGGCAGAGGGAGGAAAGCTGCGGTCTCCCTTAGGCTAGGAAATCGCTCTGTGGAGACCTATCCACATTTTTCTAGAACATACCAATACAAAATCTGGTTAAGCAGCATAGTAGGTGCTGACAAACATGGGAATAGCACGGACAAAATGTACACTCCCGGGGAATTATGCAATCATGTGCCCATGCAATTTTGCACATAAAACATATGACTACATATAAACTATGAACATTTAACCAGGTGGGCTCTACACCTCCACCAGGCTCCTGGCACTCTAGCTGGGACACCCATGTGGAAGCACTGAACACAGTGGCATGCTAATGGGGAGCTGGCGAGTGGGGAGGGGAGCTCCTGCCTGCGGGGCAGGGGGCCCCCCCATGTGGTGGAAGACCCCATCACATGCTCTCCCCCCCCTCTCCCCCCATGATGCACAGCCCATCACCAGCAGTGGCAGCAACAGCGGCAGACCCTTGGGGTGCTCATGGCCATAGCAAACAGAGCCCCCTGGTGGTGCACGGCTCCAGCCGAGTCCTGGGAGCTCCATATAGTGACGCAGAGCCAGCCCAGCCGACCTACTAGTGCGCACCTTCAACCCAGACCAGGGTGGTTCCATGCCAGCACATGGGGCTCGCAGCAGTGCAGGTGGGAGATTGGTACAGAAGAGGGATGTAGCCAATTAACGTAAGCTGTGCCCTCAAAAAGGTGCCCACAGCATATGCAGAGTACCAGTACTAGCCAGACTGTTTTCCTCCTTCAGCTTTAAAACAAACTAAAAAACGCCACTCAAGTCATATTTTATATTAAGCTTAACAATGAAGTACAGATAATACATACATGACTAAACAGTACAGATAAGGCATATCAAGCTAATATTTAAAATAATAAAATGCTCATTAACCTAAGGAAATAGTAGAATCATTAACATCTGGAAAACATTAATCTTAAATGTTCTAAGGTCTAAAATTTTAAAAGGCTGCAACAGGTGGCCAGACTTATGGAAAAGAACTTCTCATCTAGGCTTCAAAGACAAGGCATTCCCCACATATCACCTTTTTTTTTTTTTTTTTTCTTCTTCTTCTTCTTCTTCTGCCTCCCTTCTCCTTTTTAAGGTTTTAAGATTTTGGGCTGTTATAATTTAGCATCTAGCATTTCACTTAAGACACTTTCAATAGCTACCATCATATTTTATGTTCACATAGTATTCCTCCATTTCTACTTGTTACAATGCAGTATATTGTCAAGTACAAACACACATTTTTTGCCCTCTCATTTATAACGTAGTCAAAAAATTAATGGCAACAGGTTCCTGATGTTTTGGAATGAAAAATATCCTTTTGACTTTAAAACAGAGATACATGTTGGTGCTATCCTATCCCTGGAGAGTAGAGAATTTTAGCCTTCTGATGGCACTTCATAATTTGGTTAGAGATGTAGTGGTGCATGAGACTATCTTTAAATGCAAATGTATTCTAGAGACTGAATGGGATTGAAAAGCTGCTTTTGGGTCCTAACTATTCTAGGTCAAGTAGACCATTTTCAAGATTTGATTGTAGCCGACAGCAGCTTAGAGTTCTACTCCAGCATTATTTCTAGCAATGACACTGAAAATCAGACTAGGCCTTCCTCTGTCTCTGCAAAGGGCTTCCAGAAGTATGACCAGTTCAAAATGCAGTGAATAGTCCTGTTGATGATTCTCTTAATTATGCTGCCTGTGGTACTAAGAGGAATAAAAATGCAACCACTGTCAGTAGATCCAATAAGCTTGCTCCACAAACAAGTGGAATCAAAAAAATTTGATTATGAAAGAATCTATGTAGTGCATTTTCAGACCATAATCTGAACAAAAGGTCACACAACCTTCCCTCCCCTCCCACACAAGCCACAAAGCGATTGCTCAAGCACCCTCAAAGAGTATCATAGCCAATTCTTTGGCCTTAACAGTGCAAGGCACATGTACATTTTTAACCTACCTGCTGAAATTCTGCTGCTGTGCTTCTGAAGAGTTCAATGTATCTTTTCCCCAGCAAGTCCTTATGCTTTTTTAGTGCATTTTGTGCATATTCCTCACAAGCAAACAACACAAAGGCATCACCTGTTGGCCTGTTGTCAGGGTATGTGACAAAAAGGATTCCTTCTTTTCCCCCTGTTACAGGGCAGTGCTGGCCAAAAAAAGTTAGCACTTCTTCTGTCGTTGCATTGAAAGGAAGACCTCGCATCCGGACAATCACTTGGTTTTCTTTGGATAGAAACTGAGCTACTTCATTGGAAGTGCCTTTAATAAAAGACAGAAAAAAAAAATCAAAGCTGAGACCCCCATATGAGAAAAGGTGCAAGACAGGAATCCTTGCACAGATAGTTAACAACCAAGATCAAGAATTGGAACTCTGATTACTTCACCCACTCAAAATCCACTTAGCAAGCTAGAGATATAGTAATATAAAACACTCTTTGAAGTCTAGGAATGCTGCTCCTTTAATTGTTTGAATTAGAGGTTCACCCTCACCCATAAGGGAAAAATATTAGCTGTCAATATTCAACTAGAGAACACCAGGCTAGGCCCATGAACAAAATCTGAATCTTTACCACAGAAGCAGAGCAGCAGGTGGTGTGTATATATATTTTTTAAAATTCACGTTTCCAAAATATTGCTACTTAGGTATCATACATCCAGGCCATTGCTTTGGGAGTTAGCAGCAAAGAGTGAACTTTAGAACGTTCCACTTTGATACATTTTTCTCAGAATCATAAGAAAAAAAAAATACTGAAGAGGACCTCAAGAGGCGATATGGTCAAACCTCTGCTCAAACCAAGATCATCCCATCTAAATCACTGTAACCAAGTGCTTGTCAAATCTGCTTGTAAAACCTCCAGTGATGGAGATTTCACAACTTCTCTAGGTAATATTTCAGTGACTTTCATAGAAACTTGCCAGTTTTGCCTTCAATATCTCAATGAGTCTCTCATCATTTAACTAATTTTACCATAACGTAAGTATCCCAGACATGTTCAAAGCTAGTTGACCAGGTAAGGTATGCATTTGGATACTTATGCCTAAATGTAGTCCTCTCCTCCAAAGAGGTCTAATTTTTACAGTGTGAACAATTACAAGACATACTACTTTTTTTTCCCTAGTTTAGCCATGCCCCTCCTAAGTACCGAGTCACTGTGGCCTCCTGCACCTTGAGTGCAGCAGGCAATTCCTATTTGAGTGGTAATTGGATAGTGAAAGGGGAGAATCAGGCTTCCCAATTGTCCCATCCAAGGAGATCCAATACAAAACAAAACACCCTGACAAGTTACAGCCACTACTACTATAATACTATAGATGTGGATAGCAACTCTGCGCCCTAATCTAAAAGCATTATCTTACTCGCTACCTTAACAGAACTGTTCTGAAAAAAAGGAGACCGTGGGAGGATTTACAAAAAAATTCTGTATCCTTGTAATATTTGTGAAAGGCTCTTCCTCAAAAGTCACTTTTGCCCATCCCTTCTTATTTGCAACACATTTGCTCTCTCAGAGACTTGTCTGTAGCATCCAAGAACAGGTGAAACTGTGAGACATTGCTATTCTGAAAAAGGATTCAAGTTCAGTTCAAGTGAAGACCTGGCCCACCCTGACAAATCAAATTCAGGAACAGGTTAGTATGAATGGTAGAAATCCCTGAAAGAATGACTGTTTGAACAAAGAACATGTAGAAAATATTTATATGATAGCAGCTCTGCAGGGATGAGAGTACCATTATGTCAAACATCACATCCACAGGCTAGAGAGTCCCTCCTCTAGAGCAGTAATTTTCAACCTTTTTTGTACCAGGACCCATTTGTAAACATTGATGGCCAGTCCCAACCCAGTGTCCCTCACTCCTGACCTGCTGCCTCTTTCCCCCAGGTCCCAGCCCCCCCACTAAGTGGGGCAGAGGGTGGCCATGCCCCCCCACCCCCAAGCAGCCTCTTGCAAACTGGAACTCTTACGGACTGCAAGGGAAAAGCCCTGGTTTCCCACATTTTTCTCCTTTACAGGTGAATCCATTTTAAAGTTCATTGATTCATTTTTAAAGTTTGTTTGCAACTCTTTCATATGTTCTTGCAACCCACTTTTGGGTCGTGACCCATGGGTTGGGAAACGCTGCTTGAGAGAGGAAGTCACAGATTCTATACATGTGGATGAGTCACAGCAAAAAGGTAGAGATGAGGGTGTAGGAAAGGGAGGCTAAACCATAAGACAAATCAAAGCCAGCAGAATATCAGTCTCAGGGCAACAACTGCCTAGTCATTTGATGAGCCAGTCAGACCTCGTATAACAGAAATGTTTAACTCACAACTATAAACTAACAGGCACTTATTGGAACAGAATCCCAACTCTGCCAACCAAGAGAGCCAGATTACCTCCTGCAATTTTAAGGAAATCTTCACCTGTTGCTTTGTATACCTGTGGAAAGAGGAAATCTGGTTATGCTTGGCATGTTGCTAGCTGCCCAATCAAGGAGATACTTTGAAGATCAATGATACATACCTCTATGTACCTATTCCCCATATGGTGCTTGTGTCTTTGTAGTGCTAGATCTCTGTGTTCTTCACTCACAAACCTGACAAGTGCTTCCCCATTCCTCCTACCTTGGGAATTGAGGCAGAGGGCAGCACCTCCCCTTTAAGAGTGAAGTAATAAGAAATGGGATGAGAATCTGACCGAAGCAGAGAAGTTACCATTTCTTCTTAAAAAAGCTGTAATGAGAACCATTGGCCACTAACTTGGCAATATTTAGGCCTTTGAAGAATCTTGCAATGTCCTGGTCAGATGACTGCCATGGTAAGCCTCTTGCTCGGATTACAGCATTATCATCAATGAGGTCCATCTTGCTGCTGCAGATAAGAACAAAAATAGAGAGTCACATACTGAAGCTTCCCCATCTTCAATGACTGTCACACACAGACTAGAGCTGTGACATTTATTCACAACCTTAACCTTATGTCCATATTTTGTCCAAAAGTGCTTCCCACTGGCCGGAAAGCTGCAAACCAACATAAAAATCATAACTACCTTCTCCATCTGATTCTCTCCATCCTTCTGCAATTTCCCTCCTTTCCATTTCTGTTAACAAATATGCTCTCTCTCCCCTCTTCCTTTCTTCCATATATTCATCCATTCTCCATTGTCCAGAGGTATATAAAAAACATGCAACACTATGTCCCTCCTCCTTGTCTCACCTCCATTTCCTTTAGATTTGTGTCTCCAAGACACCTCACACACACTGTACCTTAGACATACATAGCGCTCTCCCAGGGTCAACAAATTAAGCTTCATCACATACTGTGGAAGTATAATTTTCCTATCTCTAAAGCGAAGATAAAAGCTGGAGGTTACCTCCCTCAGCCAAAATGACAGGGGAAATTAGTGTCAATTATTATTTGTACTGCTTTGGTATCAAGGAGATCCAGTTATGGTTCAATGTCCCTGCTGTACAAGCTGCTTTCCTAACCACAGAACATGGTCCCTGCCCAAAGAAGTTAAAACTCCAATTCATTGGCTCATGCTATTACCATACTTCTCCTCCTACCAATGTGGCCAGAAGCTACAATGACTTCTCAAGTGCAGGAGTAGCTCAGCTAGCAGCAGCTGGTTGGCATCAATAGGGAACTTGTGACAGCTACAAATTGGCCCAGCCCGAGCTATAAGGAACATTTCCCATGGCTGATTATCTTCCTAGAGGAGCCATGGACAGTTGTACTGGCTTGGAAGTTGCATGAGCTTTTGTTATGCTGCTTAGCTTTGGGAGCAATACTTGCACTGTAGTAAAATTACTTTTCACATAATCACTCTATTCTCTTATTAGTTCCCTTTAATGATGATGGTTCTACTGAAATTTAAGCAGCTTTTGTCTGTCATATGGATACTGCCCTTCCTAATGAGACAGTATTCGTCTCTCATGACCCTGGCCCACATCAGGTAACTGGGATCCAGAAATAAAGTTCTCTCTTATTATTAAGACTCCTCTACATCACTTTTGCCAGTAATAGCGAAAATGGGGGAAGAAAGTGAGTGAAGCTATCCAGCTCATTATAAAGGGCAATGGGTTATTCAACAGCAATAGAGGTGGACTCACTTCATAGAGAATTTTTTTGAAAAAGGACAGAATTTTGATTTTGTGCATTTTGGTCTCTAAGTCCATTTCAAGCATTAATGAATATGTTTAAGGCACATGCATAGAAAGCTAGAAGATGAACAAGAACATATAGGAAGGCACAAAATCCCTGCTATTTCAGAATACAAGTGCTTAACATTTCTGACTACAGATCTCTGACTACAGACAACTCTGAAAGTAAATGTAATTTCTCTTTTGCCACACTGCAAGCTCTCACCTAATCTGCCAACTATCATTACTCTCTATTTTGTTACTGCAGTCTGTTTTCCCCTTAAAGAACTTTTCTGTAATTAATCTCATTTTGCTATTTGCTACCAAGATTTATCATCTTTTATACCATTTTATAGCATTTCCCTCTCTCAATAACACCCTGCTTATTTCCTTTTCAAGATCATTCATGAATATAAAGGGCAGATCTAATATCAGTCTGTTGTGGGCAAAAAGTACTTAAAAAGTACTAGTAACTTAATGATATCAAAAGAAGCTCATTTGCTAAACAGGTGAGAAAAATCATTAAGAGGCTTGTACCTTAATTGTAATTATCTAAGCTTTGTCATCATCACTGAAAACATTTTAAAAAGGACATTATATTTATGTAATTTACTCATAGAACTCCCATTGCCTGTCAGTATCTTTAGATTCATGCATGCAGGAAAATGTTTACAGTTGTGCTGTATTTAGCAGCAATTACTTTTCATATCATTACTTTAAAATGAAAGCCAATATTAAGAGGCTGTTTAACAAGAGTTTAAAATCATTCTTATATAATAGCAGAGTGTGTTCACTATTCATGATGATAATGAGCACAGTCCAGAAACTAGCAGCTAGTAACAAATAAGATGAAAAAAAGATGTTCAGCATCTGGTTTTATTTTACCATATCTTTCATCTCTTTGTCCCTCCTCCTAATTAAACTACTTACCGGGTTCTTGCAAAACAGGCTGCCCAGAAACATAAGAGGGTATATGAACAAATGCAAAAGACAACCTTTGCAAATGTAGCCAAATACAGAATTTTAAGAGTAGGTCTGGTTTCAGGGATGCTGTGAAGGCTTATGTCCAAAAAGAAGGGGAGGTACGTACCAGGGACCACTCTCAAATTTGTAGTTCACCCTTTCTGGATCTGAAAATCTGTGATCTACAAAACATATCAGAAATTATTTTTATCCAGCATACAAGAAAGCAAAAAACCCCCAAACAACAAAAAAAACCACAAAAACAAAAATGCAAAAAAGCAAACTATTTTACTATGGCCACTTACTGTATGGTTCCGAAATTAATGTTAAAATAATATTGCCCATATCTTCAACCTGAGAAGCTCCATAGTGAAATGTTGGATTCCTCTTGTCAAGATTTAAATCTATATTTTGGAGTTAAGTCAATAGTTATTGAGTAAGTTTGTTACCAAAGAATTCTCCCACCCTAGGGCCAAACATTCATATTGCCATTGACTCCATCAACATAACATTTAATCCATTCTCATTCATGATTTGAATAAAAATGCAGCTACATTAATCCTCGGTCACCATTACTTAACACAAGATCACTTCAGAAAGCATTTGGCAACAGTGGAGATCCCAGCAACAAATGTAAGATATTTGGTAGATCTGGGTGAAAGTTGCACAGACTCTAGTTATTTCAAATGCAAGATTCTAGTATGCTATGCTTAATGAGGGAGGAAAAAGGCTGAGTTAAAACCATATCCCTAAGCTTAAACTAAGGTCACAGTATTTAAATATAGATCATACAGGAAACAGTCCCTTACAAGTCATTCATTCCTTGCCTTTACCATACACTTTATACAAAGATGCAGTTCATGGCACCTTGTCCACTTCTACAAGTTTTAAAACCAAACCAAACAAAAACCCCAAAAAACCCTGCTCACCTGGTATTGAGATGTAGCAAGAATTGGGTAAGGGCACATTACCCTAGTGAAACAGTAACTTGATCCATTATTTGAAATAAGTAGAAGTGAATGACAAGGATGAGAAAATTAAAAGGGTCAGGAAAGGCATTTTGTGGGAACACTGGACACTATCTTTGCAGCACTGCTATCCAAGTGAAGAAAACGAAACCATTGTTTCCATTATGGAGTACATTAAAAGGTTCTGCAGTTGTCCCCAGTTAGATAAAGTATTTTGGAAACAGGTAGGTGGGAGGGAAGGAAGAAATGATCCTACTTCTAAAAATCTGGTTGGTTGCTTTCACATAAAGCTGTTAGAAAAAAAATTTCATGCCGTTTGCCTTTTGGAGTTGGAAAAAAAAATCTCACTTCGCTAAAGACACAAACTACAAGGAACTGGGGTACAGAAAATTAACGAGGGAAGTGTTATACATGTGGTGTAACAACTCATGACCTTAGAGATGGTTTTTCATTTAAAATATACATGGGGCATTTTGAAATCTCTACTAAAAAAAAAAAAAGAAGAAAAAAAAATCAAAGCCAGAAGCATGGCCCTGACCACTAACTGTGGACCCAGAAACACATGAGTTTAAGACTAAATGAGCCAAATAGATTTTGTCTGGGGTTTGTGCGTTTTGGCGAGTTCTAATCTTCAAGTTCTCTTCCCAAACTAATAACAACAACAATAATAATACATATGTTTTAAAAAAAATACCTAGACTGTTTTTTATGTTGGATGCTTAGTTCAAGATACCATGAAATATTTCTGCCCCCCCCCCCCCCCCCCCATGGATAGCTTTCCTTACCTAATATGTTTTGCTAGATGTTTTTCTACCCAAGTGTCCAATTTAGAAGTTTTAATGTTCTAATATCATACTTTAATGCAGGGCTGTTCAACTTCCAACCAGTCAGGGTCCATACTCCCCCTGGGGCACATCAGTGGAGGGCTGCATGTTGTGCAGGACATGGGTGCTGCAGCCTCACCCTCAACTCCCTAGCCATTGGGCTCCACCAGTGTGCCACCCTGCTCAGCAGCCCCAGGCCATGGTCTGTACTGTGCTGTACCACATTGCCCTCTGCAGTGGAGAAAGAAATGGCAGCTGGGTAGAAGCCAGGGGACCACAAATTAACCCTTCATTAACCCTTCAGGGGCGGCATACAGCTCTTAAGCCACCAGTTGGACAGCCCTGCTCTAATAAATACAATTAAAAGTTATAGATGGCTTTTTCTCCCCTCAAAAACAATTAAGCAAAGTTTAAGAGAATCTATTCTTAAAAATTACTCCTTCAGTCTAGAATTCCTCACTTCTTTTCCTGATATAGAAGGCAGACAAGAGTCCTGACTAATACCAACCTACAGTATCCCTTTTCAACACATCCAGTGTTCACAGAGAAAGGTAAAAATCACTTTACATTTAAATAGAATGAGTGGTTTCCCTATTTATTAGGAAATTAAAAATTGAGATTCATTTTTTAATGAAACAAGTGCCAAACAACAGTGCATATATTTTATGCAGCCTAAGTACTGTACACTTTCTTTGAAAATGTTCACAGAAAATATTAACCAGTGCTACTAGGGAGCTTCAGGAAATATTTGTAGTGTAAACACAGGGGTTCAGTTCGGATACAAGAAATGAGTTATGCTAACAAGTTATTTAGCTAAAGTAAGAGAAAAAAGGAAAGTTAAAAATCAACATTAGTGAGAGTTGGTGAATGATGAGAGAAACATTTTCACTACTTTGCTTCTTACTAACTGGAATCAGTTTTCATTCATTTGGAACACTGGTTAAGTGGAAAATAGATTTCTGTGTACATATTACAAGATTGTTGGCAACAAAGTTATTCTTGACAAAGGCTTGTATTCACATACAGCTGCCAAGCACATATGAATGGTTTTACATTTCAATGATTTTTCACCATCCCACTTTACAAGTTTTAGGTTTTTTACTTTAGGAGAAAAAGTGATTTTGAAGTAAAGAACATTCCACAGATTTCAAAAACAGTTTGCTTTTTTTAAATGGATCAGATATATAGATGTATAGTTTCATTTTGGGAAGAGAAGCAATTTCTTCCACACTTTTACTTCCTGCACTACAGAAAGGATGTGGACAAACTGGAGAGTCCAACAGAGGGCAACAGACATGTTAGGGGGCTGGGGCACAAGACTCCCGAGGAGAGGCTGATGGAACTGGGTTTATTTAGTCTGGAGAAGAGGGATTTAATAGCAGTCTTCAAACTACCTGAAGGATGGTTACAAACAGGATGGAGCTACTCTGTTCTCAGTGGTAGTAGGTAACGAAACAAGAAGCAATGGTCTCAAGCTGCAGCAAGCGAAGTTTAGGTTAGATATTAGGAAAAAAACAAACAAACTTCTCACTAGGAGGGTAGCAAAACAGTGGATAGGTTACCCAGAGAAGCTGTATAATCTCCATCGTTGGAAGTTTTTAAGACCTGGCAAAACAGTCTTGGCCATGATGATCTAGTTGGGGATTCTCCTGATTTGAGCAAGGGGCTGGATTAGATGGTCTCCTGAGGTTCCTTCCAAGCCTAGTTTTCTATGATTCTGTGAAGAGTTTGAATTGATATTTAAAGTTGTAAAGGCTTTTCATTGTGAATGGCAACTAGTCCAGCATAACTAAACTCTATAGACAATATATAGATGTAGGGTCTATTTATTACATTACACATGAGTGCATCTGTATTTTAAATTGATCAAGAGGCAAGGCATAGCTGCTATGCAAGTACAGAAACAAGGAACTACAGAATTTTACTCCAGCTGACACCTCCTGTAGCTTTGAAGGAGATTCTTAACTAGCTCTACCTTAGGTTCATTTTTGCAGACAAGGAGAATAAGCTGTTTCCAGTACTCTCCTTCATGGTGTTGGACCTACACTTCCCACCTTCACCTAAATTGTATTTTCTCCCTTCTTCCTATCACGCCTACCATGTTTCTCCATCTCTTGTCTTTCTGCTTAGTCCATCCTCTTTTCCCTTTGTTTTATCCATTTTAAGTCCTTCAGGACATGATTTATTTTATTTTTACAGTGTATATCACAATGTGGTTCCAATTCAAGTTGTCCCAGGCACTACCAGGAGATGAATTATCAAAAATTAGAAGTTTAACTGCTCTTGTTTATAACTGGGAGACAGACAGGTTTGTTTGTTTTTTTACTACCTTGTTGAGATTTTTTTTGCTGTTATTGTTATTCAGATTTTATGCAGCATGTCCTGATTTTCATTTGCTTTTGGAAAAAAAAGGACATGCACACAGATACAAAAAACACTAGCAACAGAACAGGAGTGCAGTCTTTGAGGTAGTTGACTGTTCATCCATAAACATATTTCCTATTCTTATTTATCTTCACACTAACCTAATGCAGAAATAAGCAAAGCAGCTGTTCTTCTCCAACTGTATCCTCTGCATCTTCTCCAGCTGCTTGTCATGTAATGGCTTCTACAGGCCTGATCTTGAAGGAAAGGAGGATCTGACTAAATTTAGTCACGCAAGCTTTATTCACTCCACCCTCAAGGCATTCATGACAGTGTGAACTGGCTTAGCAAGGTTTGCAAATCAAAGGGAGTGAGTTAGCAAGGTATGTAAAGTGCAAGAACACTGCTGAGCTTTCTGTACATATACTTATACAAAAAGGTAAATTCTTTTTTGGATAACCCTGACTTCTTTTCCAGAAGAACATGATTTCTCTAATGGCTTTTCTTTGAAGTTAACTTTCTTGTTACTGCTACATTACTTTCATTTGTATGGTCACACTAAATAAACAAAAATCTCTCGCACACTATTTGGCTAATTTTTATGATCTCAAACAGCCAAGAACAGAAATATTTATCTGAAACGTAAGAGATTCACAGCTAGTCTCAGTTCTCCCTCAATTTCTTGAATTAGAAAATGTTTTAACTATTGCTAGTTTTCCTTTCTTAAAAATAAAGGGTTATATTTTGCTCATGAGAACAAACTAATGATTTGTATTATGTGGGTTTAAAAAAAAATAGATTAGAGTGTTCACAGGAAAACCAAAGTCTCGTAACAAAGGGATTCCAATTTCAACGGACTTCATGTAGCTTGCTGATCCAGTTGACTGTCAAGTTCCTCTGGATATTCAGTTCAATATCTCTCGGCTCTTTCCCAGAAAAGGTTACCTTCCCCATAACAAAATATATTGTCAGGCATCATAACTTGCAGTTGGCTGATTTATGCCATGGACTTAAATGTTTTCAACTAAACAGTTAACTAATGATGCATTTCCCAATACAAATAAGTACTGTCATCTATGTGTTCACTCAAAGAGAGCATACAAGGGAACCACTCTAATTTTGGTAGCATTCTGTATTATACAGCTCTAATATACAGAAGTTTCCAAATGATTTCATGCCACTCATGCCAAGTTCATACGAGTTAGTTTTCTACTCAATCTGCTCATCTTTGCTACAAAATTGTATCATAGTTGAATTAAACTATCTAGTGTAGCAATTTAAGTGAAATGGGCCAGTTTGTATTGTTAGTAATAACCAGGACATAGTTTAATTTGTTTTGGCAGATCTTTGAAGACCAGACATGTTTTTGACCTATTGACATTTGTTTTGTAAGTCAGAAAATCATTTATATGATCTTCCCAAAATCTTGAAATGAGTTGATGGATGTTTCTAGCAGATGAAAACCCTACCAAACAGCAGTGTAGCCCAAGGAAGTGCTATTCCTCCTGACAAATAATTTAAAGCACATTACAGAAACACATAGAAAAAGACTAAGTATTTTGGCAAACTGAGTAGATTTACAAAGAGCTAATGGTGGAACAGAAATACAGAAGTCAGACAAATAACTGAGAACAAGAGAGCTGACAAAACTCACAGACCAAAACAACACTCTAAATTATATGCTTAAAGAAAGGTGTTGCTAACTAGTTTTTTCAAGTCCACAATGCAGATCTGTATCAAAGAATTTCAGTGCACATGAGCGTGCACACACACACACACACACACACACACACACACACACACACACACCTGGTCCACCAAACAATCATTCACTTTGTTCAAGTTTCATTGGTGGCTATAGTGATGATGAAATTAGAAGAGACTAAGTTTCAGGCAACACCTGGCATTGTAACTTCTGTTCAAACTCTTCCCAAAGGAGGTCTAACAATATTTGCAGGCATATGGCCATGGAAATCTTTTGGTCAGATTCTTAGGCAAGTCATGACACTACGAAATAGGGTCAAGAAAACCAGTTATCAGCAAACTTTTGTTAGGATCCTCCTACTCAGGAAATATAAAATGTCATAATGTACACCAGCTCCCTTATATACCTTCTATGTGAACTCAGTATTTCACTGGTGCAATTTCTTCAAAGTAGCTTATTGTTCAGAGATACTGGAAGATCATCCTTAAGCTATGAACTCTTCAGAATAGAAAACAAATATTCCTACTAAATTCCTAGCATGTAAAAGCAAGGACTTAACATTACCGTGCTCCTGTATTATGCAGAACTCCATATACTACATATTCACAGATCCACACCTACCTTTTTTTGCTTTAGGATAGCAGGATAAGCAAGTAACTGCTTCCTTACTGGAAGAGTTATAGTATTTACACTAATTCAGATTTCTGGACTCAAAGAACAGACTACTTCAAACATCCGATTCCATAGCTCGTTAGTAGCTGCTGTAGCACTGGCATTTTAAGCCTTGTTGCCACACAGTTGCATGAAAACAAACCCCCACCCCAAATCTGCAGTTATTCTCTATTTCTATTCATTTTCTACTGAGGAAAGGTTGTAGTGTCTCAGATATCACTATGTGGCAAAAATTGATAAATGCCAACCACTGTACATGTCAAAGGAGGAGATGCATCTAGATGATTTTGTCCAACTGTTTCTCCCCATTAACATTTATTCTAGCTTTGAGAACTAAGAAAATCATTTTTAATTCCTTCTCTTCCTCCTAGCATTTGCTGCCTCCCTTTGAATGTATCAGTTGAAAAACACTGTTCCCCCCACTATTTCTGAGCTTAGAGATACAGAACAGGACAGTGAAAAGACATACTAGGCACAAGCAAAGCAGGAGGAACATCTTTTCTATCTACTGTTTTGAAGTTCAGTTTAAGTTTCTATGTGCTGCCCAGGCATGCACAGAAAAAAAGAAGTCACATAGTAAACACTGTTTAAGAGAACTATAAAATTAGGTTACTGCCTACTTGAGAACCATTCTGGAAATCCATTTTAACCACACTGACATCTATGAAGCAGAGGGAAGGCAGTATGTTCAAGTATTGCTAGCATCCCCTACATTTTGTAGGGTATCCAAGTAGAGTTTACATCAAAATGTGTATAACACAGGTACTGAAAACAAGCATGTACTATTCAGAGATTAAACACAATAATCATTTTAGAAATAAATATAAAAAATTAAACTAAGGTCCCAGAACAGCCATGATCATCTAATATCTATAAAGTATGATAAAAATTGACATACTGAATGCACTGAGCATGCAACAGTTGTAGTTATGATTCATTTTAGTTATTAAAATAAACCAGGATCCAGATTTAGCATAACTTTCCATTAAAGAAAACAATGAATTAGCTATTCATTATAGTCCAAAACTAGGAGACAGAAAATAGAAGATGAAATTCCTTCCAAATCTCTTACTATTTAAAGTTCTAGTGAAGCTTTTTGCAAGGCACTATATTTTTTTCCATGACTCCTATAGAGAGTGCCATCTTTAATAGGAAATCCACTTGGGTTCAGTGTGGTTTATTAAATTATGCCATTTCTGAATAACCATGGTAAACATTCTAGTAGTCCCTGACACTATTCTTGTTAGAAGTACGACGTTACTACTGCAACAAAAAAAGATGCAATTTTTAAAAGGATACATTCCGTCATGACTGCAACATCCAGTTTGCTAATGTCAGGTGAGCCAGGACAACACTTCTTGAACTCCTTCCTCAAATCGAAAAAAGAGTAGAAGCATTCAGGCAGTAAGATATTCTGTAAGAGCAAGATAGTTGCTGTTAATTAAGGTGAATTCCATCTTTGTGGGGGTTATTTCCACACTTTAAAAGTTTTGAAGTAAGAGAAAAATATGTACACATGCCCAGTTATAGTAAACTTTTTTTAAGATTTTTCTCAGCAGTTTAAGTACAGCTCTGATGTTCTTATTAAAAAAGATCTGTTTACTGTATAACCATAAATATATGCTTCCATTACAGGCAGAAGGAAAGGTTTTTGCAGCCTATTGGCTACTGTTACTAGTCCTGCAGATCCAATGCATCTGTGGGAGAACATATAGGTACTATTGCAACATTTTAATAGCTCTTGGTTCCAAGTTTCATCCTTAGAAGCCAGAGGGCAGATAGTTCAATTTATGGACCCCAATCAGATTTTGAAAGATGAGAAGATGCTTTATAGACAGATTGAGTTTTCAGAGTACAAATCACATTTCAACTATTTATTCTGACACTTTGTAACACTGAGACTATGTAATTGTGATGTAAAAGTTGTCGGCTGGTATTTGATGAATACACCACTCCCAACCTGTAAAGTCAAGAGTGAGTTATGTGCCTTATCTCAAATGAGGGCCAATAAAAGCCTTTAGGCCCACAAACTCTGTAAATGTTATGCTACTACATATAACACAGACTTAATTTATTTGTAAAGCCTTCACTGTCTACTTTTGAGACAGGCTTCCTTAATTATGATGAATGCAACTGCACAAAATTTGGAGGGAAATTAAAAGAATACAGGATGACCTCTGCAAGTAATCTGTAATAGCTTTTTAGATGGAAAAAAGTCACAGTTTTTAAGTTTTATATCTTGAATTCTTTAAATCTTCTAGGACTATACTTGATTATTGTGCACCCATTTACAGCTAGCCCTCTTATTTATTGAGTTTGGGGGCAGGAAGAAATATTCCACATCTGAAGGGAGAGCAGGGGGAGAGAAGGGAAACATTTGTGGTGTCTGGATTAAAAAGACAGGTACTTAGAGGTCTGGAATCTTGGAGTCATCTTATAGGATACTCATGAGTAACAGACAGAATGCAGGTCAGCTGTCAAGTACATTGAATATAAACATAAGCATATAATTATCAGGTTATATATTTTCTATTTAAACCACTACCACATGAAACTCAGATCAGAGAATGCAACAGGATGGTATCTTGCAGTGTATTTTAGGATAGTGACATTTTCAGATATTACCTTTCTGATGATCGAACAACGGCTTAAGAGAATGGAACTCTGAATTAATGGAATATATTGTAGATACAAGGTATTATTTCCATGTATAACTAATTTAACACTGCCTTACAGAGTAAATTAAATAAAGTAGATCTAGAGTGTGGCTGCGCCATGACATGTGTGTGCTATGAGACATTTGGCAGTGTATACATTCATGCACAGAAATACAGGGTTATTAGACTGGAGAAGAAAATTAGTATCCGGCAGTTTAACAGATCCTCCTGTCCTCTTATTTTTGGTAAAGAATTAGCACAGATAGTGTGTGTTTATATTTGAGTTCTTATTTGTACCTAGCTGGAAAAAAAAAAAAAAAAATCACTTTCCCCAAATGCTGCTACAACTGTAAGGTTTTATATTCTGTTTAGTTGTCGAGGACCTTATTTCAGGATCATCAGGACAAGATCCTTACCTCCACAATTTAAAGACTATCCAATGTCACAATACATTCATTAATAGAATGACAGGGTGGATGCACATGTGAGAGGAAAGCTAGATGTTAGGCTCTAACAAGTTGGGATCTAATTTGAAGTAATAACAGATTTTTTGGCTTGGATGTAAACAGGTCTATGACTACATGATTCAAACCCCACCCATTTTCAAGAAGTTTGCATTTAACTGTAAGGCCATCACAAAGGTTGGCAAGTCTCTGTGTTGTCCTCCTCTGCAAGAAGAACAGGTACAAGAGAGACATCATTAACTCAATTATTTATTGTGTTTGCATATTTCAGCAGTCAAATGCATGTGCACACACTACGGCCTAACTATTTATCCCATTACAGAAGTTAAATAGCAAGATCTTGCTTCTCTTCAAAATATGAAGCAAGTAAAGAGCTAATCTGGGCCTTATTTTTAAGTGTAAAAAACAGATTTTTTTTCATTGTCACTTCTGTTCCTTTTGATAAAGGATATGCAGGACCTCAGCCTTTAGAAATGTCTCAGTTTTAATTTAATGACACTGGTTCTCTTCTCTTTTTACACCAAATGAATAGCTCTACTCAAACTTTCAACATAATTTGAACCTGCATACACATGGTAGCAATGATTTAAAAAACCAGGCTGTGGCAGTGGCTCAAGTTGACCATCCAAAACAGACATTCAGGGCCTTCCTAAAGATTTTTTTGCTACAAATCTTAAAATTTAGGCCAATACTTGAGTATATAGAGAAAGACAAAGCCTATCCTAAAGATCTCATGAACTAAAGTGACAAAGAATTTTCAGAAATCTGGGGGAGGTGTTATAATCTATATTTTCCAATTTCCTATATTTTCCACTGAAAGATGGAACTAGGTAAACCATACATAAATTTGATAACTAGTTCTGTTGTACAAAGAGATAAGATGCATCACAATTTACTCCCCCCCAATACTCTTTACAAAGACAATTCTACATCAATGCATACAGTAGTATGAACTGTAGTAGTATGATTCATAATGTAGCAGTACACTCTATTAAAATATTAGGGGACTGACTTTCTTGGAATGACATAACATACCAAAAAATCATTGACAACCAAATCTTATATTGTAATCTTACAGCAGTAAGAAGATCAGTTGCATTGTTATCCTCATGCTTTAGCCTTCTAAAGTAACAGGTACTGGACAAAACATAATGTACTGAGATTGCTACTAGGTGCAGCAAGTGAAAGATGGGATTATATACACATTACTGAAACTGCATTCCCCTAATTCTTAAAACATCCTTAGTCCCACCTATACTGAAACATGGACCTGTGGTATTTTTTGTATTTGTTTGCTACAGCGGAGGGACAGCTATGTAAGAACTGGGGTTCCTTCACATCGTTGTCCTGATCGCTGGTCAGTTCCTTACAAATACAGGAAAATACCACTGTTAGAGTATAAACTGAATATATTAAGATAGGAAGCTACCAAACCTAGGCATGGGTTCAAAGTCTCAAAGCCCAGCGTGTACAACTGCAAAGATAAAAAAAATAAAGATCTTGAACCCTAGACATTTTTCACAAATTCCTAGCTGCAGTCCTACAAACTAATCAATTTGTGTATGTTAGCTACAATAAATGAGTCTCAAAATTGGTCTACATGAAAAAGTTATATCAGGATATTCATTTAAATTATTGTATTTAAGCCAGCACAATTTCCTAGATGGTCACACATTCTGCCACAAGGAGTACCATTTCTGTCTAAGCAATTTCCAAAACAGACTTACCCTAAACCAGCAAAAAGGTGCTTATACCAATCTAATTCCCCAACCCCAGATAGACATTCTTGTTCTAGCATAGCCAGAGGAGATTATAACTCAAAATATCCCACTTACATAGACCAGCCCTTGAACCTGGTAAAATTATTTAGAGATTTCTGTGTTATTTTAATATCAGGCAATTTGAAGTAGAGACATTATGAAACCTTCAATAAAAATCAAATCAATCACATTTAGATCAGTCTCAAGGAATACCACACCAAATCACTCTCTCTTTGCCCTCCCTGCCCCAATCCATCCCACCTACCTTTTTGGAAGCTTCAGGTTGCAGAACCTGTCTGATGTGAAGCTGTCCATCAGCACAGAAACAGAAGGAAGTACCTACACCGATATTCAGCTCATTGCTTACAGACTGGTTAAACTGGAAGTTGCAAAGACACAGACATGCAGTAGCTCAAAAGCACTAACCCCTTCCCCACACAAGCAGAAAGGGCTCTTACGATACTATTACTGGCTTGCATGAACCTAGAGGGCTTGAAGGGGCTGCCTGGGTCATCAAGCCAGCCCCTTCCTATTGCAGGCTACTCTTAAAGCCATTAAGCACCTGTGCCTGCACAGGGTGGTGCTTCACTTCAGAGGTGGCTACATGCCAGCTGCAGGTCAAGTGACCAGGTCAGGTGGGCTCTGTTCGCCAGAGCAGGGTTCCTAGTGAGGCTCTACTCATGGAGAGGACACTGCTAGGCTACAGCTCATCCAGCTCCTGTAGCTCAGCACATCGCTCAGATGGCTGCAGCTTGGAGAAGGCAGGACACTACATGCTAGTCTCAGTACAGGCCATGCAGGCTCCTGGTGCCTCACAAAACCTTTCAGGGTTTGGGGCCCATTTTCAAGAGCACCTCAAGTCCCAACAAGTGTTAAGAGAGCTAAGGGCAAAGCCAGCGCCTCCTTGGAGAGCCAGGTCAAGCGCCAAGGGGCCTATAGGTGGCACCTTAGCTAGAAAGCTGCAGCTGGGGGCAGTGAGGCAGGGGAGCAGGCTGGAGACAAGTTGGCAGAGAGACCCGAAGCCCAACACGCCCCGGGGGCCACCTGGCTGGGCATCAAGACTCACAACCCTGCTCCCCACTACACTGCACAGGAGCTGCAGGGCCTGTCCCCGTCCCTGTCCCAAGGCCAGGCCGCAAAGGCAAAGGCTTCGCTCCCCACCCCTGCTCCCCCTCACCTGTCGGAGAGCTTGCTCCAGTGGCGGGGCCAGCGCCAGGCGCTCCTCTTCCACCTCCTTGCACTCGTCCGCCAGGGCCAGGTGCTCGGGGCGCACCAGCACCTCGTGCAGGCTCCCCAGCTCCGGGACAGAGAGGCACCGTCAGCGCCGCCGGCCCCGGCCCCGGCCCGCTCCCCCGGCAGGACGCC